GGGGGCATGTCGATCAGGTGCTTGCTACAAGTGTGGCAAGGAGGGGCATATTGCTATGGATTGCCCCAAGAGATTTATGGTTTGCTTTCATTGCAACCAGACCGGCCATCGGAAGGCCGAGTGCCCTCAGCTTCACCAGGGATATGCGCCTGCTGCTAGGGTTACCGAGACTCGGCCGGTGAAAGCCGAGGCTCCGAAGGCTCGTGGGAGAGCTTTTCAGTTGACTACGGAGGAGGTCCGCGCGGTGCCCGATGTCGTAGCTGGTATGTATTCTTTCGTGTATTTACTTTTATGCTGAGATATTGTGCTTATATTCTTTCGTGTAACAGCCCGAAATCCAAGTACTCTTCAATTTAACCCTTCATCTTTGATATATTGCCATTTAGGATTTGCATGTTAGGCGAGTACGCTGCGCATACTCGCGCACTTCATTTGGACGCGTTCACCCTCGGGTACGCTGGGTATACCCAAGGTTACACTGGGCGTAACTGGTCCAGACCTAAAAACCCTAATTCATTCGGAGGGCTATAAAAGGAATGTGTGGCTCAACTCCTCAGCCACCATCCCTTAGAGAGAAACCCTAAAGAGAGTGTGCATTCGTTCTTAGGCCATTTGTGAGTATTCTAAGCTTGGTGGTGCCATTTCAAGGTAGCAATGGAGAAGAAGTGCTCATTGGGAAGGCTAGGAGTGGTGTTCAAGTGTGGATCTGAGCTTTGCAAAGGTTGAAGCTTCATTATAAGGTAAAAAGTTTCGATCTTGACATTTAGTTCATGTAATATGCTTCAAGTACCATTTTCTAGGGTTTTAGTTCCAAAGGTGGAGACTTTTTGAGCAAATGGTCTCCATAAGCTTAGATCCATCATATTTCTGGTCTATTGGAGTTGTAGACTCATAAAAATGATATCATGGACGTGAATGTTGCACCATGCATGTGATCTAGGTCCCTGAGTTGGAATACAATGATGTTAAGAAGTGTTGGAGCCTTTACAGCCATGCCAAGGCTTAAAGGTCTCGACTTTATGGGTATAAATGCATAAATAAAGTCGGATCTAGAATTTGGAGTAATGGCTTAACCGATTAAGGCTAAAAATGATGTTTGCTAAAGTCTGATGCTTACGTTGGGCGTAACTCCCAGTACGCGCAGCGTATTGGGTGGAAACCCCGATCCATGGATTGGCGATGTACGCCCCGCATACAGCAAGCAGTACACCCCGCGTACTCAAAAGGTTGACTTTTGTTGACTTTTAGGGTTTTGGTCAACATGAAGACTTTGAGTCAAAAAAGGGTAAACGGTCTTTTACCCTCGGAGGAATGATGATAACGGGTAAAGTCTAGTTGTGGAAGTCTTTATTAATGAAAATGATATTTATTATGTTTAGGCGAGGTAGAGTCGTCGTTGGGATTTGGAGTTCGCAAGTATACGAGATTCTAGACTTTCCACGAGGTGAGTTTTCTCACTATAATGTACCCGTATGGGTTTTTTATTGTGTGATCGGAAGGTCGGATATGTTATGAGTTATATGCATCGTAAATGATAAGTTAATCGTTATTACGTGCTATGTATGATATGTTGATATGGGCCGGAAGGCATTATGTTATGGGCTGGAAGGCGTATATATTATGGGCCGGAAGGCGTTGTGATGTGGACCGTAAGGTTGATGCCGGTAGGACCGGAAGGTTTACCGAGTCGGGACAGAAGTCCCCTGAGATACATGGACCGGAAGGTTAGGGCCTGGAAAGGCGTATGTGCGTAAGTAGTATTTTGCGGAACTCAGTAAGCATTTATGCTTACGGTTGTTGTGTTATGTGTTTCAGGTACTAGCGAGGACCGTGGGAAGGCGCTGGCGTGATTGTACACACTGACGCTGGAACTCTTTTTATGATCATGGGATGTATTTTGTTTTGATAACGTTGTTTACCTATGAATTTGGAATATTAAACGATGCTTTTGAAGTTTGCAAAAATGAAAAATTTGTTTTAAAATTTACGTTGTTACACTTGAGAGAAGTTAACTTACACCTGAAAATCAGATTTCCCTCTTGTTCTTCACTTAGAGCCCGATTTTGCTTGCCTTGGGGCTTCTTATATATTTATGGCAAAAGTAGGGTTACACCATGTAAACCCTAATTGTCATGCCTTTTCATATTCCATGATCCATGGGTTTGTAACCTCCATGGATTATCCATGGAGCACCTTATAAGCTTTAGCCCAATCCATACAAACCATGGATCATTAGCCCACTATATCAGAATAGATTATTTACATAACCAACCCATATATTTAATTAGTCTCTTTTTGATCACTTTATTAATTCCAAATTAATTCTTTGATCAATACTAATTAAATAATATTATTTATATATTAGAACTTATAATGTATTAATAATCCTTAAGTGTCCTTTCTCTTTGTTAGTTTATCCAAGTGTTGCAATGCAATGCAACCCAAATGGACCATGCCAACCAGGTCAAGTACATTCCAGAAATAGTTATGAACTTAGACACCTAATCGAACATCATCTGCAAAAGATGCAGAGATATGTTGATCGCCTGCTGAAGTTAAATGTTAACTTCAATGAAGAGTTGGGAATCGAAAATATCCTTCACTCCTTGCCTCCCTGCTACAACCAGTTCCGCATGACCTACCACATGAATAAGGAAGATGTCACTTTGAGCTAGCTTTAAGGCTTGCTAAGGACTTCTGAGAGCAATCTCAAAGATAAGTCTGTTGCATCAACTCCAACTCTTGCTGCTGCCCCTGTTTTGGCTATTGGGCAAGGGAAGGGTAAGAAGAGGAAGGCTACCTCAAAGAGCCACTACAAGGGAAAGTCCAAAGATGGTACTTCTTCTAGTGGAACCAAATTTGGTTATGCTAAGCCCAACTCTAACCCTAAGGAGGCAGAGTGCCACCATTGCCACAAGATAGGGCGTTGGAAAAGAAGTTGTCCAGAATATCTACAAGCTATCAAGGATGGGAAGGTCAAGCCGCCCTTTGCAGGTATTTACACTATTAAATCTAATGATTCATTGCATGCTATTTATTGGGTTCTTGATACAGGATGTGGTTTTCAGATATGTTCTGATTTGCAGGGACTAAGAAGAAATAGGGATGTGGACCATGGGAAGATAAATCTAATCATAGGAAACAGAAGATCGTTGCCTGTTACCAAGATTGGAGTTTATTCCGTGGTGCTTAGTAATGGATTAGGTTTAGATCTAAATAATTGTTGATATTCGCCAAATATGGCAAGAAACATTATTTCTTTTCATGGTTTATATAGAAAAGGATTTAGATATTCATTTGATAATGAAAAGGGTTCTATTTATGCTTATCTTAATAGTGTTTTATATTTTGAAGCATTGCCTTGTAATGGAATATATGAAACTGTGATGGTTGTAGATAACTTAGGAAATGATGTGTTGTGTAACAACGTAAATTTTCAAAACAATTTTTCATTTTTCAAACAAAATAAACCATCATTTAATATTCTGAAATCCCATGTTTAGCAAATGTCATCGTAACAAAAATACATCCCAAGATCATAAAACAATTCTTTCGTCAGTGTGTACAGATCACGCCGACGCCTTCCCACGGTCATCGCTAGTACCTGAAACACATAACACACAATTGTAAGCATAAATGCTTAGTGAGTTCCCCAAAATACTACTTACGCACATACGCCCTTCCAGGCCCTGACCTTCCGGTCCATGTGTCTCAAGGGACTTCCGTCCCGACCTGGTAAACCTTCCGGTCCTACCCGTGTCGATCTTACGGTCCACATCACAACGTCTTCCGGCCCATAACATATATGCCTTCTGGCCCATAACATAATACCTTCCGGCCCATATCAAGAATAGCATACATAACACATACAAACGGTTAACTTATCATATACAATGCATACAACTCATAACATATCCGACCTTCCGGTCACACAATAACACCCTTCCGGGTACAATATAGTGAGAAAACTCACCTTGCATGAAGAATCAACCTCTAGTGATGTTGCTGCTAAATGCCGATCTCTAACTCTATGTCAAATCCCACAGTTAACCCGATTACACTACAACAAAAATCCGAAATAACTACGGAAATATTCCGTAGCTAAACCATGATATTCCGTAGTTACGTGTGGTTAGAGACGGAATTTGCTACGGAACCCATCTGTTGCAAAAATCTTCGTTACTAAACTTTTGTTACGGAATCCGTAGGACCTTCGCAACGGATTTTGCAACAAACTTATTTCCGTAGCAAAATACCTATAAACTGTATCCGTATCAGTGACGTAGGAAATTAGCTACAATTGTTGTCCGTAGCATATCTGTAGCAAATTACCTACCACCCAATCCATAGTTAATCTGTCACAAATTAACTACAAACCATACCCGTAGCTAATTTCCATAGCAAATCTACTACGTGCAATGCCGTAGCAAATATTTCATAGTGAATCTACTCCGATCTAATTCTGTAACAGATAGTTGGTAGTAAATTTACTACAATTTACTTCCATAGCAAATTTACTACAATATATTTTTGTTGCAAATATTCCATAGTAAATTTACAACAACATATTTTCGTTGCAGAAAAAAATATTATGACGGAATAGATTCCATAGAAAAATCCATAATAATTCAACTACATAATAACAACGTAAAAATAGCCATAGTAACTCTGTAACAATATCAATAACAAAAAATGGTGACATGATTATTTAAAAAACATAAAAAAAATGATTCAATTTTTTTTTTCTGAAGCGAATTTATAACAAAATCAAGATTCTGAAATTGCAATAACAATAAAAGAAATTACAAAAATACTTAATAAAAAAATAGTTTATCGTCAAATGAAATACCCCTATGTCCAAAGCACCAATCAAATTAGTCTAATACTCAAACTCAACTAGAAATCCTAAAATGCAATCAATAAAGAGTGTATCACTGATTATTCATATCATTAACCATGTTTCTCACATCATCCAACTCCATCCTTTGTTGGTTCATGGTTTACTCTAATTTCTGGATCTTCCTCTCGAGATGATCTTTCTCAAAACTTGTATATGGTGAAGTGCATGTTTGAGAGGAGTTTTCATGAAAAATGGACCTGCCATATGATCCAAGCCCATAAACTATTTTCTTACGATCATGTCCTCCAACAGCTGCATAAAACAGTTCGCTTTCAGGAACTTCCTCTCCTAGCAATGCCAAATCCGCACGTCGAGACACAAACAAATCCTATAATGATATTTTTGCATTAATATATTTTTTTATACAAGATTTTTTTTAAAAATTCCTTTTATCAAGTAAATTACAAATAAACTTACATTAACTTCTTTAGCTTTGTCAACTTGAAATCTTTTTCCGTCATGATCCTTAGTATGAGTAAACATGAATAGTTCATAGCATGATGGAGCTTTTCCTGTATATTCCTCCTACATTAACACCAAGTATATGTCAAACACAACATGAAATGAAAGAAATAAATTATCATACTAGACTTTAATAATTTACATTAACCAATAATAAGGAAAGGCGGTGGTTATATTATACAAATATTATAGATTGCTATAACACTTTTCAAAAAGTGATCATAAGTAAACATGAACGTAATATGCCAAAATAATTAAAACACACCTCCATTAGATGAAATGAAAATAAGATGTTAAAAATAATATTAGTAGTTAAAATACACATACCATATCAGCAGCAATTTGTTGATGTGAAGCCGATCCACCATTATGGGTAGGTGGGGCTTTTCCACCAACTACACCTTTACACCTATTTTTTTTTATTTTGCTCTGATTTTTTCTTGAAGTCCTCTGAATTCCATATTTCATTCCAAGCATTCCATACTTTTATTTCTATGTGACATGGCTTTTCACGAGTTGGGTTTCTTGTGCTTATGTCATAGATGTACTGTCGATATCTTTCTTTGGCCTTTTGTTCCCAAGCAGCCTTGACGACTGAGTCACTAACATCAACATCCCACTGACATTTTTTCTATAATTCATAATAACAATTAAGTTATAATATGTGATTGGTGTGACTAATAATTACACAAAAGCATAATAATAAATAATCTACCTGAAACTCTTCCCAATAAAAATGTTTTGTCTCTTCGCTTAAATTTACCCACTTATATCCATTTTCGTCCACTTTATCTAGGAATGATTTCGTAATTATGGACGAACATTTACCTGAAGGTAATAATCTACAAAACAAAAAAATGCATAATAATATGAACTAATCAAACTTAAATAAAAAAATATATGAAAATCAATTAGTATTTTCACTTACGTATTTGCCCGAACTGTAATATTCATGCGTTGTTCTAGTTGTGAATCTTCTTGTTCAGTAGCAATCGGTGTCGATGTGGCTGCTGTGGAGGAAGGGGCGGATGATGGGTCTTGTCTAGATGAAGGGGATGATGATGTGGCTGATGTGGATGAAGGGGTTGATAGGGTACTAAACAGTGGGGCTGATGTGGATGAAGGGGATGACAGGGTACTAAACAGTGGGGTTGATGCGGATGAAGGGGCTGATAAGGTATTTAACATTACGGGGGTAGTAGATGCTGTTGTTGTCGATGTAGGGGCAAATGATGGTGTTGGTGTGGATGAATGGGTGGTTATTGGGGCTGATTGAGTACCAACAGTGGGGAGGTAGATGTTGTCAGCCTCATAGTCGGTGTGGATGCAGGGGTGGATGCTTCATTTGTGTACCTTTGTAACAACCGATGCATGTTCTTGTGTGGCCTTGTTGGATTTCCTTTCAATGGGAATGGAGACATCTCTTTTGTAATAACAAATTTGAAATGAAATATTATAAGGAGGCCAGGTTTACACATAAACAAACAAGTTATATTGAAACTGATAAAAAAAGTCTGATAAAATCAAGAAGTATGGCAGACAACAACATATAAATGACCGATAAGTGAAACATTTGTGGGTATCTTTCCTTTTAGTGTCTTCCTACTTTTCTGTAAAACCATATATGGTTGTCTAGTAGCACTTTATTCCTTGCTGTTTACAGATAAAGATTGTAGAATAGGAATACACACGAATGTGAAATATATAATCAATTGACTGTATTGGAAGCATTATTAGAAGTATAGGAAAAGAAATTGTAGAATAAGATGCCAAACGCCAAATTGGCAATCCAATCACGAACTGGTGTTATTCTGATCGGTAAAAAAAATTCTTCAACAATCAATTTTTTTATTCGGTGGGATCTCGATGTAGAAACTAGAGAAGATCGAACAGATTTATGTAGAAATTGTAGAAACACAAGTAAATTACATGATTAATTTTACTATCTTTGATACTTATAAAAGATAAAGATTAAGAAGAAGATGGAAGAAATAAAAGAAAATTTACCAGAATCTGTGGGAGCACAATAGTAAGAAGCAACGAACAGCCCTAGAAGTCGATAGGAAAGCAGGACGAACAAAGACGTCCACCACCAGAATTATTCTTGACGTGGAGAAGTTATGCGTAATTAATGGGAATCGGTTTTCAAGGATTAGATACAGGGAGATTTGGTTTGGCGGGATTTGAAACAAGGATTAAAAAAATTCAATCAATGATAAGATATATGTAAATATATATCTGTATGATTTACATGGTAATGATTCTATATATATGGAATGGGTAACAAAATGATTTTGTAGTTGAAACTCACTCCCGTAACTGAAATTATTGCAGTATGAAACCTTTTTCCTTTGAAAATACCCAAAATACCCTTCCTTGTTATAGATGTTGTTGACATTACTTATTATTATCTACTTATTCATATATGCTCGAAATTATATCCATATGCCAAATCTCATGGAAATTTTCAAACAATAGTTACTCCAATTGTAGTCAAAGAAATCAGTCAACTATTTTTCTCATAATTTAATAATACTTACTCCAATTGTAGATGTTTTTTTGAAGGCTATTCTCATGTATATGACATCTCCATTAGAAATACCACCCTTATCCCACCAGAATGATTTGTTATTGTCCTAATCTGCCCATATTCATCCGTATAAAGCACAAAAACCAACTATTTTTACTAAATCAAACATAAAGTAAATTGAAAAATAACACAAAAACTGGACCTGAACAAGAACAAAGTTGGAAATGTTATTGGACTGGTTAGTTTGGACCGACCCAAGCTGTGTCAGGATGGGCCTGATCAATCTTAATTGGATCAGGTTGCTAGGCATAACATCATACAATATCTTTTTTTGATTTTCAATATGTCCAATTTTATTTAAGGAAATTCCGTATTTACCCCTTAACATATTAGCATTTCCCCACATCATTAACCAAAGTTTCCACCAAAAGGACTACAAAAAAAAATTAGGAAGACTAAAATACCCTTACTAGGAAAAAGCAACACAGAGTATAAATTGGTTTGTCCTATATATGCATATAGAATACAATGTTATAATAAACTAAAATAATTAAACTGTGATGGTGTAACAAACAAATCAATACCAATATCGTTCCCATTCGTAACGCAACTAAAACCAAAAAAAACAAATCTATAAAGTTTCAAACAAATCGTTAATGAAGTCTTACTTATTATCATCATCATACATATCATCATTTCCGTCTTCTTCTTCGTTTGTTGATGAATTGTACCCAAACTCACCCTCATTGTCATCATCATTATCATCACTAGAAGCATTGCTTGAGATGTCGCCATACTCGACTGTTTCATCACGTGAACTTGTGGATGCTTCTTCCATAGGGCTAATGATTTCATTTGGTTCCGCTTCATCATCTTGAAAAGCATCATCATTTTTATTATTAGTAGTATTTTGTACATCAATCCATCCACGTTGTTTAACTTTACATACAGCTAACCAATCAGACATGTTTTGCTTCATGCTAGGGTATGGAATGTAACAAACTTGAGTTGCTTGCACAGCAAAAACAAATAGTTCAAACTTTCTAAACTTTCTTTGTTGTTTATGTCAACTAGCTTATATTGCTTATGGACCTTGACCCCAACATTAGGAGTTGGATCATACCATTCACAGTTGAACAAGACTGTGCTTTTGATTGGCAAACCAGGATATTCAACTTCTAGTATTTCCAACAACCTGCCATAGTAATCACAAGAGTCGCTACATATACACACTCCACTGTTCATTGTCACTTTGTTAACACCATATGATTCTGTATGAAACTTATAACCATTGACAAAGTAGATGTTATATAATTTCACCGTCCTTAAGGGTCTTCTTGAAAGATCATGTATATACTTGTTCTTTATTTGATTTTGACGTGCCTATATTACAGAAAAGGAACTACATAAGAAATCTGTCAATAATAATAATAATAATAATAATAATAATAATAATAATAATAATAGTAATATCCTAAGCACTCACATAATTCTCAAACCAGGAGGCAAAGTTTGTATCCACTTCTTCCATGAGATTATGTTCGCTTATATCAGGATATAGTTCTTTCAGCAACCTTTCATATTTTTTGTACACATAATTAAAATAATATGAAATCATGCAAAGTTGAATAATATGTGACTTTGAAATGTCAATTACAAGCTTACTTGACATACGGTTGCACCTTCTCTTCATTAAATAGTATGTAAGAATGTAATGCATTAAACTCCTTATCACTTAACCTCCTACTCTTGAGTTTTCCATATGCGCGGCCATGATGTAAAAATATACTCAAATTTTCTTCATCAACATCTTCAGCTCCTCCATCATCATTACGAGGCATCTTTTTGATACGTGTATAAACATGGGGCTCGAAATAGTGAGAGCAAAAGTTTGAGGCTTCACGAACCAAGAATGCATTGCAAATTGACCCTTCCACTCTAGCTTTGTTTTTAGCATCCTTTTTCAATTAATGGAGCAATCTACAATGGAACAGACAACATATTAAAGTTAACCAAAGTTAACATTTAATGTATAAAATATAATGCGAAGTACAAAATTAACCTTTCAAATGGATACATCCAACGATATTGAACATGGCCTCCTATCTTTGCTTCATATGGTAAATGTATCGGTAAATGTTCCATCAAGTCAAAAAATCCAGGGACAAATATCTCCTCCAATTTACAAAGAATTACAGGAATTTCAGCTTCAAGCCTTTTCATGTCTTCAACAGTAATTACTGTTGTGGTTAAGCTTCTAAAGAAAAGACTTATCTCAGTGATTGCTTCCCACACCTTGGTTGGTAACATCTCGCGGAACGCAATTGGCAACAATCTTTGCATAAAAACATGGCAATCATGACTCTTCATTCTAAACAGTCTATGTGTGCTCAAGTCTACACATCTCCCGAGATTCGACACATAACCATCTGGGAATGTCAAATTCTCCACCCATTTACATACGACTTTTTTTCCTCCTTGCTTAACGCATATGGCGCTTTTGTATATTGACCTGTAACTTGATTTTTACCAAAACCTTTTCTATTACAGAAGACTTTCAAATCAGCTCTTGCTTTTGTATTGTCCTTTGTCTTGTCCTTCACATCCATTACTGTGTAAAACAAATTTTCAAAAAAATTCTTCTCAACGTGCATAACATCAAAATTATGTCTTATTAAATTTGTTTTCCAATATGGCAAATCCTAGAATATGCTTCTTTTTTTCCAACCACATCCAACTTTTTTGCTACATGATTTATTTACTAACTCAGCATTAACTTCTGTCACTTTTAACAAGCCAAAATCTTCAATTTCCCTTAAAATTTCTACACCATTCATAATTAGAGGAGGACCCCTTTCTTCTATACGGTTCTTGGTGAACTTAGTCTTATTCAATCTGAATGGGTGATCAGATTTGAGAAATCTTCTATGACAATCAAACCAAGAAA